GGGGTATATCACAGACACAGACCCCCGCCCCGTCACCTGTGGGGTATATCACAGACACAGACCCCCGCCCCGTCACCTGTGGGGTATATCACAGACACAGACCCCCGCCCCGTCACCGTGTGGGGTATATCACAGACACAGACCCATGTCCTGTCATGAAGTTGGAGAATCAGGGACTCAGAAGCTGGTCTTTATTGATAGGAATTGAGTGTTCCCTTCAATTAAATTGCACCAAAAAAACACTGAAGAATTAGTAGCAGTTTCTTCAAGAATCACAAGTTTTACCTGTCTCTGGTCTGTTTCCCAGTTTCCATAGTTACCGTGTTTTCTCTTTTTCTGAGCTGATGGTTGATGTCTATCAGCCTGTTCAGTATGTTTTTCACGGAACTGTCTCAGAGGAGAGGAATTGACCCCTGATCGCGCACACCCATCTTCCTGTTCGTAATAGGAATAGGCAAAACTAAATCACTCACATCAGATAAAATTCAGCATAGTTCCGAAATTATGCAAAAAAAAATTAGAAGTTTTGAAGCCATTGTTCTCAATAAGAAATGGGCCTGGAAAAGCAATGAACAAGCCCTTCAATTACACTCCCAGCACAGGGACAGCATGGGGTTAGATACAGCGTAAATCTCCTTCTACACTGTCCCCATCAAACACTCCCAGGACAGGTACAGCATGGGATTAAATACTGAGTGAATCTCTCTCTATACTGTCCCCATTAAACACTCACACGACAGGTACAGCATTGGATTAGATACAGAATAAAGCACCCTCCACATTGTCCCATTAAACTCTCCCAGGACAAGTACAGCATGGGGTTAGATACAGGGTAAAGCTACCTCTACATTGTCCTATTACTCACAGGACAGGTACAGCACGAGATTAGATTTAGAGCAAAACACCTTCTGTACTGTGCCATCAAACACATGAACAATGACTACCAATGGTAGTCACATAGGAAGTGAACAACTTGTCGTGCTACTGGCCTGTCCTGGTTATGAAGATCCCTGTTTCCATCCATACTGTGTACTGGATTCAGTGATCTGTGATGGAACAGGCTGTAGGAGAGCTACAACTGATCTCGGTGTCTCTAGGAAACAAGTCAGGAACATCCGCATTATCGGTTTCCTGCTGCTGCCCATTAACAAATAAGCTACACTGGAAAGGAGGAGACAGTAACAGACATTGAGAGGCTCTGACAAGTCTCTGAGGTCAACAGTTTAACAGCCAATGAAGGTTCACATGATGTGAGAGAAGTAGAAGAGATATCCAGTGATTGTAAACCTGGATCCCACTGGCAGTTGGTGTTGAACAGATCCAAAGAGATCAAATAATCACACACAGAGGAAAGCGAAAGGAAATGGAGTGTTTGGTCTCACATGTTTCTTGTCCGGTTGATGCAAATTTCCCTCTACTTTCATCCGCATTTTGTCCAGAAGTCTGATCTGTGCAAATAAAGCCAGTAATGTTTGAGCATATTTTTAACTGGAGGTGAGTGACATTCACCAAACCTGACACCTATCTGTGTCAGATTGTTCTTCCACATGTTGCTACATTCATGCTTATCATGGGTTTTCATGGGTCAACTCTGCACCATCAAGCTAGCCAATTCCCATAGCCCTCTTAAAATAGTTTCTGAAATGATTTTTTTAACCGTTATGTTTTGCTTTCTGAAATTACAAATACAGTCGAAGATTTTTGGAAATTGCTAATTTGATAATAATGAACGTTCAATGAATCAACATAATACCAAGTCATTAACCCATTACCCCATCTACTCGCTGACTTAGACTGACTCTAGGTTGAGCAATGCCTCAAATTCTCAAATGATCGTCCTTTTTTTCTCCAAATCCTTCCATGGTCTCTCATCCTTCCCTGATTGCAGCATTCTGCTAAATCGCATCCTTCAATCTTTCCACCTTTTACAGTAATGTCTTCAGTTTCTGATGCCCTCCGCACAGGAATTCCCTTTCAATCTCTTAACATCCCTGTGTCTCTTTTTAAGCCAATTCTTAAAAACTCACCTGAAAAAGGTGTGGGAGGGAAATTAGGGAATTATAATATCAAAGCCAAACCTCATTGTCAGGACAATTTTGGACTCTATAATTAAAAAAAGTATTGATTGAACAGCTTGAAAATGTTCAGCTGACCAGAGAAAGCCAGTGCGCCTTTGTAACAGGTAGGTCAAGCCTGCTGAAGCTGACTGATTTTTTTGAAGCGGTGATTTATAAAGTAATGGACAAGGGTTATATCTGTGGATGTTATGTACATGAAAATCCAAAAGGATTAAATAAAGTCCCTCATAAAAAACTCTCAGCTAAATTTGAAGCTTATGGAATTATGGCAAATTATTGACCCCATTGTGAATCTGGCTGAGCAGCAGGAGACAGGAGGAGATAATGGACATGTTTTTCAATTGACAGAATGTAACTATTGGTGTCCATCAAAGATCCATGTTTGGCCCTCAACTATTCACTCAGAGTTCACTATTAACAACTCAGCTGAGGGTGGAGGGTTGCTTTTCAGACTGGAGGCCTGTGACCAGTGGTGTGCCCCAAAGATTGGTGCTGAGTCCACTGCTTTTTGTCATTTACATAAATGATTTGGATGTGAAGGTATGGTTAGTAAGTTTGCGGGTGACACCAAAATTGGAGGTGTAGTGGACAGTGAAGAAGGTTACCTCAAACTACACTGGGACCTTGATCAGATGGGCCAATGGGCTGGAGAGTGACAGATGCATTTTAATTTTGCTAACTGTGAGGTGCTGCATTTTGGAAAGGCACATCAGGGCAGGACTTATACACTTAATTGTAGGGTCCTGGGGAGTGTTGCTGAACAAAGAGACCTTGGGGTGCAGGTTCATAGCTCATTGAAATTGGAATTGCAGGTAGACAGGATAGTGAAGAAGGCATTTGGTACGCTTGCCTTTATTGGTCAGTGCATTGAGTATAGGAGTTGGGAGGTCATGTTGCAGCTGTACAGGACATTGGTTCCGCTACTGTTGAAATACTGCATTCAGTTCTGGTCTCTGCTACAGGAAGAATGTTCTGAAATTTGAAAGGGTTCAGAAAAGATTTGCAAAGATGTTTCCAGGGTTGGAGGGTTTGAGCTATAGGGAGAGGCTAAATAGGTGGGGGCTGTTTCTCCTGGAGCATTGGAGGCTGAGAGGTGACCTTATACAGGTTTATAAAATCAGGGTCTGTTTCCATGCTGTTCATCTCTATGCCTTTATTAAAAAAATACAAATGCAACATTTTCTGATGACACAAAGGTTGTAAGCTATGTAGTTGGAAGTATAACATTATACAGAAACTGATAAATTAATTCATTTGACAAAACTGTGGCAATGGATTTTAAAGTAGGCAGATGTGAGTTCATCCACTTTGGATCTAAAGAGATAAAACAGGGGAATTCCTACAAAAAGCTGCAAACAGTGGAGGTCCAAAGAAATTTGTGGTCCAGGTATATCAAGCATTATAATGTCATGAATGGGTACAGAAAATAATCAAAAGTGGAATATTGACCTTTATATCTCAAGCATACGAATGATACAAATATCATTCTTCTGCTCTGCTAAGCCCATACCTGGAATCACTAATAGCAGTTTTGGGCACTGCACCTTAGGAGGGAGATACTGGGATCAACAGATTTACGAGGACAATACCTAGACATGAGGATTATACCATGAGGAGAGATTAAACAAACACAGGTTATATTCCCTTGAATTTACTGTATGATTTGATCCAAGCTTTAAAACATTGATGCTGATAGGGTATATAGAAATTATGTTTCTGCAGAGGAGTCATCACAGATTCAAAACATTAACTCTGTTTCTCTCTCCACAGATGCTGTTAGAGCTGCTGAGTTTCTCCAGCACTTTCCAGATTTTATTTGAGAAACTATTTCCTTTGGTTGGGTAATCAAGGACTGGGGCAGAGGCTAAAAATTCTGGGCAGATCTTAGAGGAGCGAAATTCTGAAACATTTCTTCATTCAAAGTCTGGTAGAGTTTTGGAACTCTCTTCCACAAACAACAATGAATGGTGGATCAATTATTAAAATTGTATTAAAGATAGAAATACCAGGTAAAGTCAAATCACAGCAGTCTAAAAACAAGGACAGAATGCATGATTTTAAAATGGGAATTGAATTAGCCTGCCTGCCCTGGTCGAGTTATTTCCTTGCTTCCCTCTCTGCTACACCAAAAAAGGCTTTAACTGGTTTCGATTTTCCTTTGCCTTCGGTATTTGGGCAGTACCCAGGATTGATAGTAAAATGGATTATATAAACAGTATACGTCATGTGTTTACATATATTTCCTTTGCAATGCCCTGTTCTCAACTTTTAAGTTAAGCTTTTGGAATGGAAATCTGATATGTAAAGAGTTGTCTACAATCTTGTATCTACAGGCTGTAAACATTAGATACCTCTTTAGCGTGAGTTTAAAAAGGCACTCTTTTAACCCTTGTCATTATCTTATACTATCATCAAATTCTAACATTATTGATGACTAACCTAAAATCATAGTGGGGAGTAACTTATGTCATTTGGAGTGCAGAAATAGTCATTTGGTAATACAGCACTTGTATATTACTGAAAAAACGTGTTGAAGCTTTGGTCTTCATTCATCAGGATAATTAATAAGCCACACAAATTTAAGGAAAAACAACATTGTACACTGTAGGAGAATAGGGTGCTGATTGCTCGATTGTTAAAAATGTTGCCATGAAAAATGTACAAGTTAGATGATGACTGACAGTTAACTGATAGCTTTATTAAATTTTAAACCTCTGACTGGTCAAAGCATTGCCTTGAACAAGAGAACGCTGGAAGCTGTTTTGTTGAGTTAAAACAGGTACAGTGTGCATAAAAGTTCTTTCTTTCTGTAAAGAACAGGGCCCCGTGTATCAATATATATAGCTTCCAGTACATGAAAGTGCATCACACTCTGAGCCCAAATTACAATCTTAAATTGACATCAGTGTAATGACTAACACACTCTGGATTATTTGACAAATGCTGTCAAGAATACTGTTGTGGATTCACATCCAATGTTGGACACTGAATTTTGAATCTTGCCAGCATTGGCTGTTGAAAATAAAAGCTTATCAATCATCAGGAGAGGTGATGGCCTAGTGGTATTATCGCTGGACTGTTAGTCCAGAGACCCAGATAACATTCTGGGGACCCGGGTTTGAATCCCACCATGGCAGATGGTGGAATTTGAAATCAATAAATATCTGGAATTAAGAGTCTAATGATGACCATGAATCCATTGTCGATGGTTTGAAAAACCCATCTGGTTCACTAATGTCCTTTAGGGAAGGAAACTCCATCCTTACCTGGTCTGGCCTACATGTGACTCCAGACCCACAGCAATGTTGTTGACTCTTAACTGCCCTTTGGGTAATTAGGGATGGGCAATAAATGCTGCCTAGCCAGTGACACCCTCATCCCATGAATGAATTTAAGAAAAAACCTAACCGTTGCATTCTCCACTACAACGCCTGTACACACCAGAGCCTACCAGTCAACCAATTACCATTCTCTTCCCATTTAGTATAAAATGTTATTTTCCTTTTACATTGGCATTTTCTTGTACGTTGTCCTGATGAGAGGAAGATGAAAAGTTTCAACAAGATGTCTATTTTCAGCAATCCCAATTCTTAGTTCTGAAGAAGGGTCACAGGACCTGAAATGTTAACTCTCCTTTCTCTCCACAGATGCTGCTAGGCCTGCTGAGTTTTTTCAGCAATTTCTGATTTTATCTCAATTTACGAGTGCCCTATGAAATGAATGGAAGTCTTTTTGTAACTCACCGGCTTGGACATTGTGCGCCTTGATGGAGTCTGGCTGCAAGGAGATAGCAATGTTATTATGCACATAAATCCAATGGAATTAAATCCTTTAGTTTAAGAATTCCCTCTCTTCCCAATGCTGAAGATTCTGACTCATGCTAGGGCATAACACCATGCCCTCTAGCTGACTCCCCAGAGGCTCATTTGGCTATTCTTCAAACAAAAGCTTGCATTCCTCCAGCACCTTTCATGATCTCAGTAGATCCCAAACATACCACAGTTCCATGACTAATCCACCTAGAGGAGGTAATGTCCTAGTGGTATTATCGCTGGACTGTTATTCCAGAGACCCCGATAATGTTCTGGGGACCTGGGTTCGAATCCCGCCATGACAGATGGTGGAATTTGAATTCAATAAATGTCTGGAATTAAGAATCTAATAATGACCGTGAATCCATTGTTGATTGTCGGAAAAACCCATCTGGTTCACTAATGTCCTTTAGGGAAGGAAACTGCCATCCTTACCTAGTCTGGCCTACATGTGACTCCAGACCCACAGCAATGTGGTTGACTCTTAACTGCCCTCTGGGCAATTAGGGATGGGCAATAAATGCTGGCCTAGCCAGCAATGCCCTCATCCCATGAATGAATAAAGGAAAAATACAAGTCAATGAAGTACATTCCTGAAGTGTAGCCACTGTTACACTGTAGGCAGTGCAAGAGCTGACTTGCACACAGGAAGTTCCTGCTACCAGTAATAACCAGAATGTCTGTGTTTTTGAAATTTTTATTGAAGAATCAATATTGGCCCCAGGTGACCAGGTGGAACTCACCTGCTCTTTTTCAAAATAGTGTCATGCATTCTTCTAATTCAAGCTGGGAGGGAAAACACCACCTCAGCTTAATATCTGACCTATAGAACAGCACCTCTGTCCGAAGATGTGCGGGTTAGGTGAACTGGCCATGCTAAATTGGCCATATTGCCCAGGGGTGTGTAGGTGGATTAGTCATGGGAAATACAGGGTTACAGGGATGGGGTGGATCCAAGTGAGATGCTCTTTGGAGGGTCAGTATGGATTCGATGAGCCGAATGGCCTGCTTCTGCATTGTAGGGGTTCTATGATTCCATAACTGCAGCACTTGCTTAGTACTGGCGCTGGTGTATCAGCCTCCATCACGGATAGGATTTTTTGGGTGGCAGGATTTCCTGCTTCATCACCTGAAGGGTCAATGGTGATCATATCCCTGCTGCTACTGGCTGCACTGTCGTAAATTTACATCCCAAACAGCTTTAACTGGCTTGAGTCAGCACTTTGCCTTTCATTCCCATGAGAGGGCTGGAGGTCAGTCTGATTAGCCAACCACTTGGTCCCATCAGTGCCACCCATAGTAAAAGTGACTATGAATCTGTTGTATTGTCATGTGAGGTCAGTGGGTTCACCAAAGTCCTTTGGTGAAGGAAGCCTGCCGTCCTTACCTGGTCTGGGCCTACATGTGACTCCAGTCTCACACCAATATGGCTGACCCTCTATTGCCCTCTGAAGTTTAGAAGAAGGCCAGCAAGCACCTTCTCTGCACAATAAATCCTGTTTCTTCCAGTGATGAATGGAAATGAAAAGCCCAGACACACACATAGACACAATATAGAAAGGTTCATTACAGAATAGACAGACTGAAATGTCATGTGGTTCCATCCTGGAGACATACCCTTTCTTCATGCTCTTTGTGTCAAATCTACATGGTGACCTGGGAGGTGGACCTGTAATACAAGACATCCAATTAAATTACTTGTGCAGAGTCCCTGAATCCCTTTCTATCGCTGTTTCGTGAAGTTCTCTGGTATTTTTCCGTTTTTAATTCATTCACGTGATATAGGTGTTGCTGGCTATACAGCATTTATTGCCCAGAAGGCAGCTAAGAGTCGACCATGTTGCTCAGCATCTGAAATTACATGTAGGTTAGGTAAGAACTGCAGATTTCATTCAGTAAAAGGCATCGTTGAACCAGATGGGCTTTTACAACAATTGACAGAGGTTATATGGTCATGATGAGGCTAGCTCTTGACTCCAGATTTTTACTGAATTCAGATTCACCATCTGCCAGAGTGGGATTCAAACCCATATCCCCAGAACATTAGCTTGAGGTGCTGAATTACTAGTCCAGTGATATTACCACTCCATCACTACCTCCCCTACCGCAGTTCAAAGGAACTCCTTGAGGGTCTGTAAGTGTCAGCCATGGCTCGGTGGGTCGTACTGTGGCTTCGGACCACTGTAGGTTCAAATCACACCCTACACACATTATCCAGGCTGTCGCACTGAGGAAGTGCTGCACCATTGAAGGTGCTGTCTTTCAGATGAGACACTAAACCAAGGCCCCCATTTGGATTGCGATATTCCAAACTTGAAGAAGACCACAGAGATTTGCTGGCCAACATCCTTCTCTTAATAAACCTCGCTAATTGTTTGCTTGTGAGGTCTTGCTTTCACAACATATTACAATGAATTCCACACTTTAATATTAGTCATTGTAGAAAAGTTGTTGCAGATTGTGGGGAGGTGGTGTAGTGATGTCACTGGCTTGGTAATCCATAAAGACCAAGCTAATGTTCTGGGGTCATGGATTCAAATCCCAGACGGTGAAATTTTAATTCAATAAAATATGGAATTAGAAGCTAGCCTAATGGTGGCCAGATAACCACTACCGGTTGACATCTGCTTCACTAATGTCCTTTAGGGGAGGAAATTTACTGTCCTGGCCTACATGTGACTCCAGATGCACAGCAATGTAGTTGACTCTGGGCAATTAGGGATGGGCAATGTCTGCTGGCCTAACCAGTAATGGCCATATTCCATATTTGTACATAACTTTGGATAGACCACACTTGGGAGCATTGTGAACAGTTCCCGTTTTTTTGTTATAAAAAAGTATAAAGAGGTATGGTACCAAAAAAAACTTCCTTGGGTGATACCAGAACTGTAGGACAACCAATAAAAATACATTAAATCTTGGAAATGATGGTAATGGTTGGAACTGGAGTTCCATATGAAGGTTTGCAAAATGAGTTTGGAGCAATTCTGGCATTTCCAAGTTTTACCGGTTTTCCTTCCCAATTTTAACACATTCAACACCCATTTTGAAAAGACTAGTTAACATTAGGCTTGTTATTTATGCCTGAAAAGATTGAGAAGGCTAGAGATATTTAAGACTGAGGGCCCTAAAGAGTTCAAAATTGTAAAGGGGTCAACACGATTAATGTAGAAATCTTGTTTCCACCAGTTAGGGAGCACAAAACAATGGACCAATAAGAATAACAACATAGTCATATAAATCCAATAAGGAATTTAAGAGGAATTTCTTTACTGGATAGATAGAATACAGAACCACAATGAAGAGGCAGAAGATATATTTAAGAGGAAGCTAAAGAAACATATGAATGGAGAAAGGAGTAGAGGAATATGATAGCATTTAAGGAAGAATGGGGAGGCTCACATGGAGTTTAAACTCCAATATGGCCAAGTGGCCTTCTTCTTTGCACTGCATGTGGGAAAAATATGCAAAGACAGGTCCTACAAACAGTCTGCATCAAACTCACACTTGCACACAGAGACAGTTTTGTAATAGATCTGCAAACTCTGCCTCTGTATTCTGAGGCTTGCATTGGGCCTGCAGCCTCTTGCAGAAACAATAAATGCACAATGCAGAACCCCCTTGGCTGCTCTCCGTCAACAATCCTTTTGTGCAAAGTACTCTGTTGCCTGACCCCACCGCTATCAACCCCTCTCCCATTGACCCTGACAGAATGCTGAAACCATGGCAACAGGCCCAATTTACCAGCTGAGCGCAACCTGTACAGACCTGTAGGAGTTTTGGTATCCGTGGCAACTGGCAAGGCCTCGGGGCTCGGGTTTCCACTCTCGGGGGAAAGCTTGAGTCTGCGCTTCGGGGTATCACTGAGTTGCAGGAACAATAAACATTAATGAGCACTGGAGAAAACATGAACGAGGTCAAATATCTTTTTGCATATATCAAGCGTGTGCCTTATTTTTAAGTCTCCTGCCTGAAACATCATCTGCATTAAAAAAAATTGTGGAGTATGCTAAAAGAAGTGATACTTCCAATAAACACTGGCTGTCCAAGATGATAAATTTATCTCAGGAAATTCTGGCAATATCCGTTTGACTACCTTCCTGTGTTCAGTGGATATGCTTTCAGATTCCAAACAAATCGGGCTGGGTTCAAGTTGCACTAACAAAATCCAAGCTGATTGTCAGCTTGTATTGCTGAAGGAGTGCTGCACTGTCAGACATACTGTCCTCTAAATGTGACGTTTCGTTTGTATAACATCATCAGAATTACTTAAAAAAAAGACAAATGCATTTTTGAAGTGTGGTTACCATTGTAATGTAGGAGAGATGCCAGAAAATTTGCACTCATCAAACAACAATGTGATAATGGCCCAATGATAGAATCTCTACAGTGCAGAAAGAGGCCATTCAGCCCATCGAGTCTGCACCAACCCTCCAAAGAGCATCAACCCCTAACCTAGCCCCTGACCCTATCCCTGTACCCCACATTTCCCATGGCTAATCCACCTTGCCTGCACATCCCTGGGCACTATGGGATAATTTAGCATGGCCAATCCACATAACCTGCACATCTTTGGACTTGATCTCTTTATGATGTTAGTTAAGCGATAAATTTTGGCCTGGACACTGGGGACAACTCTCCTGTTCTCTTATGAACCCAGCTTCATATTAGACAGCATATTGAGCCTTAATTTAATATCTCAGTGGAAAAGTATTGACCTCTCTGACAGCGTAGCAATCCCCCAGCAATGGCCCAGGGATTGACATCATGTACTGGAATTGGGCCTGAATCCAGGCCTTCTGAATGAGAGATGTGAATGGCTGCCAACTCAGTTTGTAAGGTGGAAGCAGACAGGCCATGGCTTCAGTTCCTGATCTGTGCTGAGTTGAAAGCTGCAAAGTGTGTGTAAATATTAGATGGGAATATGATCATGCACTGTCTGC